TTTTTTGTATTTTTAGTAGAGATGGGTTTTCACCGTGTTAACCAGGATGGTCTCGATCTCCTGACCTTGTGATCTGCCCGCCTTGGCCCCCCAAAGTGCTGAGATTACAGGCGTGAGCCACTGCGCCTGGCCAGGCAAGACCTTCTTAACAGAAGTGAGGGTAAAACTGAGGCCTGAAGGTGTTAGCTTGGCTTGAAAGGGTTGTTAGGGGAAGGTGGAGGGAGTGGGAGGGGTGTCCAGGGAGTAAGAATAGCAGATGTGTGGCCAGGCACAGTGGATCATGCATGTAATCCCAACACTTTGGGAGGCCAAGGCAGGAGGATCATTTGAGCTCAGGAATTTGAGACCAGCCTGGGCAACATGGTAAAACCCTATCTCTATAAAAAATACAAAAATAAGCTAGGAATCAGTGGCTCATAGCTGTAGTCCCAGCTATTCGGGAGGCTGAAGTGGGAGGATTGCTGGAACCTGGGAAGCGGAGGTTGCAGTGAGCCGAGATCATGCCACACACTCCAACCTGGGTGACAGAGCAAGATTCTGTCTCAGAAAAAAAAAAAAAAAAAAAGAGTCTGGGTGCAGTGGCTCACACCTGTAATCCCAGCACTTTGAGAGGCTGAGGCAGGTGGATCACCTGAGGTCAGGACCAGCCTGGCCAACATGGTGAAACCCTGTCTCTACTAATAACAAAAACAAAAATTAGCGGGGTGTGGTGGTGCACCCCTATAATCCCAGATACTTGGGAGGCTGAGGCAGGAGAATTGCTTGATCCTGGGAAGCAGTGTTTGCAATGACCCAAGATTGTGCCACTGCACTCCAGCCTGGGCAATAGAGTGAGAGTCTGTCTCAAACAAACAAAAAAGAATAGCAGATGTGTCCAGAGCTGGCCCAAGGTGTGTGGGTTGGAGTGGAACGATCCTGAAGCCAAAAGTCAGCTGGTAGAAGGCAGGGTTGCCAAGTTGTGAGCTTTGGATTGGACCCTTAGAGCAATAGGAGCCCTTGAAGACACTTGAGCAGAGGAGTGACATGGCCAAATGTTGATTTTGAAAGCTCACCTGCAGTCATATGTGTGAGTAGGATTGTAAGCTTGTTTAGCCCAGCCTGGGCAACATAGGGAGACCCCATCTCTACAAAAGTAAAAAAATTAGCCAGGCTTGATGCATGCCTGTAGTCCCAACTACTTGGGAGGCTAAGGTGGGAGGATCGCTGGGAGGTCAAGTCCGCGGTGAGCTATATTCATGCCACTGCACTCCAACCTTGGTGACAGACTGAGACGCTGTCTCAAAAAAAAAAAAAAAAAAAAAAAGGAAAAAAGATAGCACAGCCACTCTGGAAAAGAGGACGGTCATTTCTAGCTCGCTCTCTTTTTTTATGTTGGAGTCTCACTCTGTCACACAGGCTAGAGTACAGTGGCATGATCTCGCTCACTGCAACCTCCACCTCCCAGGTTCAAGCAATTCTCCTGCCTCAGCCTCCCGAGTAGCTGGGATTACAGGCACCCACCACCATGTCTAATTTTTGTATTTTTAGTAGAGACAGAGTTTCACCATATTGGACCAGGCTGGTCTCGAACTCTTGACTTCAGGTGATCCTCCTGCCTCGGACTCCCAAAGTACTGGGATTACAGGCGTGAGCCACAGCGGCTGGCCAAGAATGGTTATTTCTTATAAAACTAGCCATGCAGTTATCATATGACCCAACGGTTGTACTCTTGGGCATGTATCCCAGATAAATAAAATCTTATGTTCACACGAAAAATCTAAATGTGAGGCCGGGCACAGTGGTTCACACCTGTAATCCCAACACTTTGGGAGTGATCATGAGGTCAGGCGGATTATGAGGTCAGGAGATCGAGACCATCCTGGCTAACACAGTGAAACCCTGTCTCTACTAAAAATACAAAAAATTAGCAGGGCGCAGTGGCGGGCACCTGTAGTCCCAGCTACTCGGGAGGCTGAGGCAGGAGAATGGCGTGAACCCAGGAGGCGGAGCTTGCAGTGAGCCGAGATCACGCTACTGCACTCCAGCCTGGGTGACAGAGGGAGACTCAGTCTCAAAAAAACAAATCTAAATGTGGACATTCATAGCAGCTTGATTTGTAGTAGCCAAAATCAACCCATGTCCTTCAGCGGGTGAATGGTTAAGCTGTGATATCTTCAAACCCCAGAATACTACTCAGCAATAAGAAGGGACAAACTGGCCGGGGCAGCGACACACCTGTGATCCTAGCACTTTGAAAAACCAGGCGGAAGCATCGCTTGAGCCCAGGGGTTCAAGGCCAGGCTAGACAACATAGTAAGACCCCGTATCTGCAAACAAACAAAACAAACACACAAATAAATAAAATTCTAAAAAGATAGAAAGGACAGGGCCGGGCGTGGTGACTCATGCCTGTAATCCCAGCACTTTGGGAGGCCGAGGCAGGCATATCACCTGAGGTCAGGAGTTCAAGACCAGCCTGGCCAACATGGTGAAACCCTGTATCTACTAAAAATACAAAAAAATTAGCTAGGTATGGTGGTGGGTGCCTGTAATCCCAGCTACTCGGGAGGCTGACGCAGGAAAATCGCTTGAACCTGGGAGGCGGAGGTTGCAGTGAGCTGAGATCATGCCACTGCACTCTAGCCTGGGCAACAAAAGCGAAACTCTGTCTTAAAAAAAAAAAAAAAAAGCCGGGTGCGGTGGCTCACACCTGTAATCCCAGCACTTTGGGAGGCCGAGGCGGGTGGATCACGAGGTCAGGAGATTGAGACCATCCTGA